TTGCTTTCCATGAAGCAAGTGGGGAAGTATTTTGTTGTTTTATAGCATCACCTAGTAATTATTTTTCTAAGACTCATTCCTTGAATTTGTAGACTTTTGGTAAAAGGGATTCTATCTTGAAGGATTCCACTGACAGTAGAAAATTTTCAAGTAGCCTAATCCAGATTATAATTTTCTCCTTGCAGATTTGTTTTTCTGGGTTCTGAGGAAGCTCTTCACAGGATAACGATGCTTTTGGACTTCTGTGTCTGGGTTCAAAGCTAAAAAAAAAAATACTCCCCAACACTACCTATTCTTCATTTTCTCTTTTTTTTTATTATGTTATATTAATCACCACACATTACATCATTAGTTTTTGATGTAGTGTTCCATGATTCATTGTTTGCATATAACACCCAGTGCTCCATTCAGTACAGCCCTCTTTAATACCCACCACCAGGCTAACCCATCCCCCCCATCCCCCTCCCCTCTAGAACCCTCAGTTTGTTTCTCAGAGCCCATAGTCTCTCCTGGTTCGTCTCCCCCTCCGATTTCCCCCCCTTCATTTTTCCCTTCCTACTATCTTCTTCTTCTTTTTTTTTTTTTTTAACATATTATTTGTTTCAGAGGTACAGGTCTGTGATTCATCAGTCTTACACAATTCACAGTGCTCACCATAGCACATACCCTCCCCAGTGTCTATCACCCAGCTACCCCGTCCCTCCCACCCCCCACCACTCCAGCAACCCTCTAATTTCCTGAGATTAAGAATTCCTCATATCAATGAGGTCATATGATACATGTCTTTCTCTGACTGACTTATTTCATTCAGCATAATACCCTCCAGTTCCATCCACGTCGTTGCAAATGGCAAGATGTTCATTTTCTCATTTTCTCTTTTTAAAGTTACTTCTTTCTCTGCTTTTATAAGCAACTGATTTGGAACCAACAGTAAACTAGAGACAACTACATTAGATATTTCTCTCCTGATTTAAATGATGGGATGTAGTTATGCTATACAGTTCTCAGTAGACGATGCAATTGTGAAAGAGACCTGAAATTTAGAAAAGACACTCCCTCCCCACCCCACCCCCCCCATACTTCTTTAACAAGTGATTTAGGAGTGATAGCAGATCCTGGGATAATAAGACTCTGTGAGGGACTTTATTGGTCATCTAGACCACATTTTCCAGCCAATATAAGAAGCAATTCTGTATCATTCTTGGCATACTATGCTCTTCCTCAGCAAAAGTTCTTTAAAAAGAAGTCACATAATCATAATACTATATATCTTTTTCTTTTTCTTTTTATCTTAAAGTGTCAGAAAAAAACAATTAATAACCACTTTAGTACTTTCAGAGCAAATTTCTGAAACAAACAGACTTAGACCGAGTATCAACCAATTTAATTATATTTGAAAGCATAGCAGTAAAAAAAATATATAGTTTTAATCATTGGACCACAGGGTAAGAACTATTTTCATTGCTTTTGGTAATAAGAAATTTTCAAGTAGGATTATGCCTTGAGATAATTCAGTTTAACTTTATTTTTATACTAAATTACCCAATTATACTTCCTTTCCTGATTAGTCTAATTCTTATCAGGGATATATCAGAAAATGTACTAAGTTGTTACCTTCACTGTTTTAAATAGTTAAATTAATGCTGTTTAGTGAAGCTTTATTAAGTTGGGTATGCATTTTAATGTGGAACATTTTCAGACACTGAAGTATTTTTCAAGTTTGCTAATATAGAAATGTAAAATTAATTTCAGATATTTAATTTCAAGGACTATATGCATTCTTGGATCTAAATTGCACCTAGATTTTGACCTACAGTACATTGTCCTATCAGTCAGGGCACCAGCATCTTCACTGCAGAGGTCACTGGGTAGAACCATCCATGCCAAGTGGATACAAATGGTTTCCTTCAACTTCGGGCTTTCAGAAGATCTAATAAATGACAAAAGATTGATGAAATGCTGAAAACATACTAGTGAACAACATGCATCATCCGCTCTTAAAAGTTCCTAATTAGGGTCATAATAAAAGCTTTGGTCAGACCGGGACGAAGAAGTATCTCTGGCTGGATTCTTGTCCAATTCTCCTCATTCTTTTTTCTGTTATTCTCCTCTAATTTCCTTCAGAGGGTAGACATTTTTGTCCACCTCTTGATGAACGCAAGTTACCAGTTTTCTTCTGGTGGCAGTAATACATGGATTGTGTGGGATTATCAGTCTTTCCTTGCTCAGCATTCAGATTTCAAAAAACAGTTCTTCATCAGCTGTGCTTCTGCAACTCTAATAGTATCCTTTCCTGTGTTCTGCTCTAAATTCTGGAGGTTAGAGATCCCCTTCTTCTTATGCCACATACTTGTGAAGGCTGCCTCGGAATTCTTGATTCAAAGTATCATCATCTTGCTACTTCTGCCTCAAAGACAGGTTTGACAGATTCCCCTGATTTTTAGTGGGAAGAGACCACCTCCTCGACAGTGTACTACATGGAAAATGCCTTCCAAATACTATAAAAGAAGGAGGCTGGGTTTTGAAGTCAGAGAGATTTGCTTCAAGGGGCGCCTGGGTGGCTCAGTAGGTTGGGAGTCTACTTTTGGCTCAGATCAGGATCAGGATCCTGGGAACGAGCCCCACATCGGGCTCCCTGCTTGGCAGGGAGTCTGTGTCTCCTTCTCCCTCTCACCACACCTCCCCCCCCCCGCCACCGCTAGTTCTCTCTCTCTTTCAAATAAATAAATAAAATTTTTAAGAAAGAAAGAAAGGAAAGAAAGAAAGAATCAGAATTCTGGTTCAAGAAAGGAAGAAGGGAAGAAAGGAAGGAAGGAAAAGAAAGAAAGAGAAAGAAAGAGAAGGAAGGAAGGGAAAGAAAGAAAGAATGAATGAAAGAGAGAGAAAGGAAGGAAGGAAGAGAAAGAGAGAGAAAGGAAGGATGGAAGGGAAAGAAAGAAAGATGAAGGAAGGAAGGAAGGAAGGAAGGAAGGAAGGAAGGAAGGAAGGAAAAGAAAGAAAGAATGAAAGAAAGAGGAAGGAAGGAAGAGAAAGAAAGAAAGAAGAAAGAGAGGAAGGAAGGAAGGAAAGAAGGAAGAAAGAAAGAAAAAAGAAAGGAAGGAAGGAAAGAAAAGAAAAGAAAAGACTTGGATCAGAATTCTGGTTCCCTAGTTCCTAGCTCTGTGACCTTAACAATTTACTAAACCAAATGGAGGTAATATGGTGGTTATATTTACTCCAAGGGGTTGCCGTTAGGATTAAATGAGATAATTTACTTAGGAGTGCCCCCAAGTCAAGTAGATAACAAGCTGCTCTATCCCCACCCCCTTACTTCTAGCATTAGACTAACAGTATTCTACCCCAGGTTCCCTGTGGGGATTTTTCTGTTTATCTATTTCATACCCACTTATGTGTGTTTTACACTTGCATGCTTTGAGTTTTTCAAAAGAAAGGAAGACCAATTTCTGATATATTGCTCATTGATAATCCCTTGTGAAAATTTTAGTGTTCATTTCCTGGTAAAATAATTAATCCTGGGGCACCTGGGTGGCTCAGTTGGTTAAGCAGCTGCCTTCGGCTCAGGTCATGATCCCAGCTGGGATCTCTGCTCAGCGGGGATCCTGCTTCTCCCTCTGCCTGCTTGTGTTCTCTCTCTCTCAAATAAATAAATAAAATTTAAAAAATATATAAATAAATAAAAATCAATTGTATAAATTAATTAATCCTTCTCAGAACCCTGCTTATTGGCTCAGTACATCTATGGCTTTGTAATTTTTTTTTGGAAAATTATGTGATGGTTTTTATTTTCATAAATGCAGTAGAAACTGTATCATTCCAGGTAGTACAACTCAGAGCTTACGGTCAATTTCCAGGGTCACAGATGAGCACAAAAAAGCATTTTTTCCTGCTCCTTGTGAGTGATATTGCAGAAAAGAAAAGCACCGTGTCTGTTGAGGTAAGCAGATGGCCAAATGAATTTCCTATACGATAGTGTCACGTGTCACCTTATCTACATTGTTATAATTTTCCTATTTGACAAGACAGTGTCAAGATCTGTTAATGAGATGGCCTCACAAGTCTATATTTGAATATTTTATGAAAAGTCACTGTAGCTTTCTATGGATATGACAGTAATTAAATGCATGAGCTCCTAAGGCCCATTTCAGGGGCTACATGTATATTTCTTCCCCCTCCAAAGACATAACAAGGTGTGCAAGTCACCTCACTGACTTTTGCAAGGAGAAGCATTGTGTTTTCCTTACTTCTCTCTGATTAGCTATCCTAGTCTCCTTGCTCCGTTTCAGCACTGAAAGCACATTGGCACAGCTCCTTACTGGGAAAATTTCCATGTGAATCTTGAATCTTCAGAGGCCTCAGTGCAGTGGTCTGTAGACACAGCACCTCTCTCTTCTTTACTCCTTAATTATCAAGGAATAATTGACTGACCAGCAGTCACTGGCTAGTGTAATAATTGACTTTCTCAAATAGAACAGACTACAGTGAGTAGGCATTTTTTAACTTTTCGGCCTTGCAATTCTAATTTTTTAGCGGGGGGAGTGTAGAGGTAATGCCATATCTTATATTAAATAATGGGTATCTGTTTATGGCATTTCATTTCTTATGTTCAGAGTTGTTTGGGGTTGGGTTTTTTTTTTCTTTCTGTACTAAGGAAAAAAGAATCAATATTGAAACCTAGACATTTTTACAAGGTGTCTGGCAATTGATGCAGGTATATCTCTCAGTTAACAAATGGTGATGATTTCCATAATAAATTTGTACATTTAACATTTACCCCTTGGAATTCTGTGGTTATTTGAATTTTTTTTTTTTTTAAAGATTTTATTTATTTATTTGAGAGAGAGAGAATGAGAGAGAGAGAACACCTGAGAGGGGATAGGGCCAGAGGACGAAGCAGACTCCCCGCCGAGCAGGAAGCCCGATGCGGGACTCGATCCAGGGACTCCAGGATCATGACCTGAGCCGAAGGCAGTCGCTTAACCGACTGAGCCACCCAGGCGCCCTGGTTATTTGAATTTAATGACACTAAACGCTCTATTAGAATCTTAAAGATTCAAGTTCACATTAGCATATTATGGTTTATGAGAAGTCAAGAAGCCCAGAGGCTTGTGTAAGCCTGGCCTGTTTAATCTAGAATTTCCCAAGTTCACTTGAGCAGCAAGTCTGCTTTTTATTTGTTTGTTGTTTGTTCTGTTGTTTTTGTGTTGATAATCCCTAGTGACGTCCAGAGGAAGTGACACTGAGAATCTGTGGTAACAGAAATCCCAAAGAACACAGAGTGCATGGTGGGAGGGGCACCTGATCACTTTCTCCAAAAACGGGGAATTTTCGATAAAATTTTTAAATATAATATGTTGCTATCATGGTTGTCAAGACTATAATAAAATACTTTAGATAAAACAGAATGAAAAAGCAAAGTCACGCATAAGTAGTTAAAAAAAGGATGGCACTCTTTTATGTGGTGAATTCCCTGTGGTATAATACATTTGATTCATTTCCTATGGTATATGTGACCTTGGGTAAAAATAACATAACCATATTCTACAAAAATATGGTTTCTTTAATAGGAGTTAGTGCCAGGGGCAAATGAAGGATGGAGCGAGCAAAAAAAGAAGGGCAGAGGCAGAGAGAGAATCCTGAAACAGACTCCCCACAGAGTCAGAGGCCCCGGGGCTCCAACCCAGGACTCTGAGATCATGACCTGAGCTGAAATCAAGAGTCCCATCCTTGGGCGCCTGGGTGGCTCAGTTGGTTAAGCGACTGCCTTCGGCTCAAGTCATGATCCTGGAGTCCCGGGATTGAGTCCTGCATCCGGCTCCCTGCTCAGCGAGGAGCCTGCTTCTCCTTCTAACCCTACCCCCTCTCATGTACTCTCTCTCTCTCTAATTCTCTCTCTCTCAAATAAATAAATAAAATCTTTAAAAAAAAAAAAGAGTCCCATCCTTAATCGACTGAGCCACCCAGATGCCCCAATTTTATTTTACTTTATCTTATTTAATTTATATTATTTATTTATTTGTTTGTTTGTTTGTTTGTTTTGAAAGCCATAGGAGTAGTAAATAATGACGCGCTTATTGACCCAGTTGGTGAACTTTTCCACAGTATCAGAGGTTGTTATTACCTCTGGGCTAAAAACTTATCTTGAAGCATTAGAGTGCCAAGCACATTTGCAAACTGTCTTTGTCTCATTTCCCCATTGTTTTCCTCCAGTTTCCTTCTCATGCTCCATTCCTGCCTCAGAAAGTGATGAGTTTTGACAAAAGGCCAGTGGTTAGGCATGAAAAGATAGAACCCCAATAGCCTCAGCCTGTATAAAAACTTTATAAAAAAACGAATATTATTCTCTCAAGAAAAAAAAAAAAAACTGTTCACTTTTGACTTTGGTAATACATTTTATTTAAACCTTAGTATTTCAGAAGAATTTTTTTAAAGCCTACTCATTTGAGTAAATACTTATTTGTAATTATCAATTAATAATTATTTGGAAAGAGATTTTAAAGAATTAAATAACAGGATGGATCTAATCATTATCTTAGTATATTTAAGTATATATCATTTAAAATAACCTATTTATCTATTCAAGTTATCCAAAGCAGTGAGGTATCAGTGGGGATTTTAATACTAGTAGAAAAGGCCAGGTTGTCAACTTTTGAAACTGAAATAGGTTATCAGTGGGAACAAAGTTTGAATGGAACATAGAGAAATTTTATGATCAAAGTCCCTCAGGCAATAAAAACTTTCTAAACTTGGTAGAAAGATATTATAAAACTTCAACTTTCTAGCAACCACATGGATGTTAATTCTGTTTGTTTTGTGCCATTTTAACCCACAAATAATGACTGGATGGTTTAAATCTCTATAAATGGCTTACAAAAGAAAAGAAAAAGGCAGACTAGGGATTGAGCAGGAGAGGAAGGTGAAGACACACCATAATTGTGATGCAAGGCTGCCGCTCATTCTGTGTACAAATAAATAGGCTTCAACACCTGCTGATGTGCTGACATCTGGCTTGAAAGCAACAAACATCTGTTTGTAATTTGCAGTGGGAAAGGATGACAGTGAAGAACTGGATACCGTCACTGAATATACAACCTTGTTAAGTTACTAAAAGGACCCAGAGGAGAGATCATGAATGGATCCTTTGAGACGTGTGACTACCTTGTGATAAGGTGATAAGATACCCTGGGTTTTCTTTCCAGGTTGCCATTATGTTTCCGTTCTGAACCATTATTTAATGGACTTTAAACAATAGACAATGCTTTCGGAGGGAGAGCTCTGTTTAAAAGAGAGAATTTTCCCAACCAGGGAACATTTTTCACATCCTTAGGGGTTCAAAGCTCTCTATAGATGATATGGATATCCTAAAACTATTCAGATTAATGTAACTTCCAATGCCCACGGCCAGGCCAAATTAGGAAGACCAGGGGCACCAGAAATCATAGCGGTGTTTGCTCTGAGCCCCAAGGCAGGTCAGACATGTCTGTCAGCATTCCTTATCTCTGCTTCTACACATCCTAGAGCCCGTGCTCCTTGATTGTGGTTGTGATTGTGATACTTTAGGCAGTAATTCATCATTTTGCCATGTTTCCTTCTGACAGAAGTGCTGGTAAGTTTTGTAACATCCCCAGGGCCAGGAAGTTGGGGAAAACTTTTTCCTACATTTTAGTTTAAAAGGGAGATCAACACTGGGTCCTTGGAAGGCCCACTCCCAATCTCTCCTTACCTTTTCTGCATTTTTCTGAGGGATTTACCTGCAAGGATTCCTCCTTTTGCTTGCCCCCAAATTCTGGAGTTCTAGAGATGGATTGTGCCTTAATCCATCCTGGCCGCTATAGCAAAGTACTACAGACTGGGCAATTTATGAACAACAGAAATTTATTTCTTACAGTTCTGTCAGCTGGAAGACTGAGATTGGGATGCCTTCATGGTCGGGTGAGGGCCCCCTTCTGGGCTGCAGACTTCTGACTCCTGCTGTGTCTCTGCAAGGTGAGGGAGTTCTGTGGGATCTAGATTTTAAGACCACTAATCCCATTCATGAGGGCTCTACCCTCCTGACCTAAGCACCCCTCAAAGGCTCCACCTCTTAAGAGTATATTTGGGCATTAGGATTGTCACATTGGGCATTTAGGATTCTACATATGAATTTTTGGTGGACACACGCATTCAGACCGTTGCAACTTTGTAAAATAGTACATTTATATTTTTCTCTGTGTGGATAATGGCAGTTTTTCTAGTTTCATATATTTAGTTAATGAAATAACAATCCTCCATTACAATTATTTTTTAATAAAATACTATATTTTGATAGAAAAATAAAAGAAAGAAGGAAGGAAGGAGGGAAGGAAGGAAGGAAAAGAAAGAAAAGAAGGAAGGAAGAAAGATAGGAGAAAAAAAGAAAAAAATGCTACATTTAAATGATTGAAGAAAGAAAGGAAGGAAGGAAGGAAAGGAAGGAAGGAAGGAAAAAAGAAAGAAAGAAAGGAGGGAGGGAGGGAGGAAGAAAGAAAGAGAAGAAAAAAAAATGCTATATTTAAATGATTGATAAAATCTCCAGATACTAAGGAGAGCTTAGCAGGAATGACAAATCATGAGGGTTCCACGTGAACACAGGATACACCATTCCAATCAAGCTTTCATTTGGAATTCCCAAATTTCAGAAAAATGTTACCTGATATCTGATAATTTTGTCATTTGGCAACATCTATTTTTGTAAATTTCAAGTTCTGTTTAGCTTTGGTACGTGAATTAGATCACCCTAAACTAACAAATTCTCACTATATCATTTTTATTTAATGAAGGGAGGAATGAAGAGTGGATTCCGTGCTGCCCTTGCTAGTTAAAAACAGAAGCTTATTATGATTTGAATGGAGACAGGAGATGCATATCTGCTGTGACTTCTGCTTCCTCTGTGGTTAGGTTTTACCTTTTGTGCTGAGAGATCAGATTTAGAGCTTCTTCCTTGCATGAACAGATTTGCATAAATTTGGCAACATACACCACAGCCTTCAAAGATATGTATGCTGGACTTTGCAAACTTAATTTCTACTTTTTAAGAAGTTAAACATTTAAAGGACTTCTGTGACTACAGAATATCCTGGTGGCAGTAATTTTGAAGAATCTAATGTTTCTATCACAAGGTCAAAGTTTTCATCTAATTGAGGTTTTAAAACTTGTTTTCTGGGCGCCTGGGTGGCTCAGTCGATTAAGCGTCTGCCTTCAGCTCAGGTCATGATCCCAGGATGCTGGGATTGAGCCACGTTGGGCTCTCTGCTCTGGAAGCAGGGAGTCTGCTTCTCCCTCTCCCTCTGCTGCTCCCCCTGCTTGTGCTTGCTCTCTCTTTCTCTCTCTCTCTGTCAAATAAATGAATAAAATCCTTTAAAAAAATTAAAAAAAAAAACTTGTTTCCTGACAAAATACAAAATATAAACCCAGCAAATCAGAAAATTTTCAACTTAAAAAAAAAGACTAGAGTTTTGTCTGGGTAACATGCAGAAAAAGTTTAGCATATAAGGATAAAATGGTTGAATAACTATATGGAGGTTAAACAAGATCCATATTTCTCAAGCAATTTCCCTTGCTCATTTAAAATGCACTAAAAGTTTGAACACAGTAATATTTAATTTCATTTTTAATTATAATGAATACAAGTAAATATCGAATGCATTCATTTTTCACTGCTTCAGAAAGCAAAGAGTAAGGTCAATAATGTTTTTGCGTTTTGCTTAGGACTGCTTGGGAAGGGTGGGGACCCGTGCACAGAGCTGCGTATGGGAACAGCACCTGCTGGGGGAAAGGCCAGATCGGAGCTCCTGCTGCACATGCGTCCTCATAGGGTTATTCTCTGTGGATTGTGCTTTTCATTTTTTATGTCTGGTTATTAATTATTTTAATACTTTAAATTATTTGCACCTGATTTCTCTAATATTGAATGCTTTGCATCGTTTTAAAGTGTTACAAAGAACGTTTTTGTCCATTGTGTAATATTTCAAAGTTAGAATATATTTTCCAGGTCGTAGCAAGCCCAACAATTGCAATTTAAGATGTGTAGTCTTAATTGAGTGAAATCGTTTTGCCTGGAGCTGCTATTAAATCTCCACCTTCCCAAGTGTTAATTAGTGAGTCTGTATTAATTTTTGTTCAGAGAAAAGTTGAGGTATTAAATATTTAATTTCTCATTGTATGGTATTTGTTGCTGGGATCCCCCACTTGCATCCTAGACAAATGTGTGTCGTTTATCCTCTGCTCAGAAAAACACAACCTTAAATAAGATGCATAAGAATCCATATAAGATTAATTTTGCAAATGAGGTCCTTAATTGTTTTAAGTAGTATCATGCTACTTTTTAAGGAATTCTGTAGGAGGTGAAATGTATTCAATGTGTTTAGATTTTGTTTCTACTATTACTACCTGGTTATTGAATACTTAACTACAGCTAGACATATTTTATGTGCTCTGTTACGTAGATATTCCCTAAATATCATTTTTATCTCCACTTTATAAATAAGAATTTTTAAGATTTAGAGAAGTGAAATATCATGCTCCGTATCGTGCAACCTTTAAATGGTAAGCACACAGATGTAAACTCCAAAACTCATACTCGGCAATGTGCGGCATATTTCGAGCTGTGGCTTTGCTTCTCACTATAGACCTCTAGTAATCAAGATGTAGTCAGATTTTCTTTTTTTATCTTTTCTCCTTAAACTCTCCTTTCAATCATTTCTAGTTCCAAGAGGATGTTTCCTATCACTTTCCATGTGGGAAAACCCTTTAAATGACCTTCAACTATGTATAGCAGATGACCTTGCCCTTGAGATTTGTGTCCCCCAAATTATGGCTAAACTGTTTTACTTGGAGCTTATTTGCTTACCTACTAAATACATATTCTAGCTGGTTTTGAAAAACACTGGCTATGATGGTATGAAATTGATTTTTCTAGATGATTTCATTGCATGTTTGATCCAACAGAGAAATTCCAGGTCTTGAGATATTTCATTTGGGAAAATAGTCAACACCTGGTTTCCTCTCAGAACTTTGTATTTTTCATGCATTTTCTAAACAAGGGTTATTTGTATCTGGTTTCAAATAGCTACTCCTCAAAATCTCATTCCCTGCTGAGTTCTATAAGGGAAAGATATGATAGGATTTATAAATAAGCAAACAGCTCCTAGAAATCTTAGGGGTGGATTGTATTGATAAGCTAGCAACCTACACATGTCCCCTTGACTAATGAGAATGTCTTAACATGAACCACCTCAGACCTTTCTGTGTGCCAAAACACCAGCCCACTGGGAAGTTAACATTTTGGTAAATAGGTTTGCAACCCACCAGAAAGCTCCACAAATTCAACAGATGCTTTAACCTTCACTTAAGCATTCAGATCAGTCAAACGGGTGGTCCCTTTGCTGCTGTTAACTACCTGCTGTGGACTTGCTCATTGAAAGACACGCCGGTCATCATTGATCATCTCACAGATTTGGTGCCAGGGAGAAACTAAAAATTACTATACACTCAAGCTGTTTAATTCGATCCCCTCACATGAATCTGAGAGGCATCCAAAAAAAAAAAAAATAATGAATGGCATTGAGTGGAAAATAAGATGTAATTTCTGTTACTTCATTATTACATGATGCGAAAGGATTTATTGGCATGAAAATGACAACCTGCTTTAAAGTTTCTCAGTCTGTAATATTGCAGAGGATAACCCTCATTGTTAATCCAGGTTCTGCCAAACCTCTTTCTGATCCTGTATCCCAGCTCTTACTTGGTGTTTATAGCTGCTCAGAATCCTGCAATTTTAGACCCAACCAAGGCAGCACGTCCAAAAGTGACTCCAGAATCACAATCTTGGCCCTCACTCTTTAACTTCATAAAAGTTAAATTTCCTATCCTTGAGGCATGTTTCCTTTTAAAATGATTTAAAAAGTGCTCGGTACAAAAAATAAAAATAAATAAAAAATAAAAAGTGCTAAATACTAATGTTTAAATACTAAATACTAGTGTTTAGCTTTTCTGATTTATCAATCTATAGGGATAATTTTGTAGCAGTGAAAATTTTTAAGGGATAATTTATCCATAACATTTGATTTCATGCTTCACTTAGAAAATGAAAATTATGTGATTTTTATGTTGAAAGTAACATAGGAGCGCCTGGGTGGCTCAGTCAGTTAAGCATCCAACTCTGATTTCACCTCAGTCATGATTTCAGGATCCTGAGATGAAGCCCCGAGTGGGGCTCTCCTCTGAGCAAGGAGCCTGCTTGAGATTCTCTCTCCCCTCCCTGCCCCTCGCTCCACCATTCACGCATGCTCACACACACAGTCTCTCTCTAAAAAAACCCAGAAAGTAACATAGTAATTTCATGTGGTTTTGGTTTTTTTAATTGAATTTTGCATCTCAAATTAGATTTTAAAGTTCTTGGAGGGGAGTAGGCGGTGACTCCATCTTTCTACCAGCCTTATTACCTCGAGTAATTGCTACATGATAAAAATTAAAATAGTTCATATGATTAAAGGATCCCCAAAACACCTCTGAAAAAAATGGATTATTAAAATAAAGAGCAAAAACAAAACCAATGACTTGACAGTTTTAGTAAATACCTCAGCAAGTTCTCAAAGTAAGGAAGAAAATTAGAATGCAAGCCCAAATTCTCCTGGGAGCAAAGCCCAAACTATTATCTGCTACTCTATTCTTTCCCCTTTGCTGCCCAGTACCCCCATCAGTTTATGCTTTGTCTTAATATTTAATGTTTGGTTTATTAAATACCTGTAATGGAGAAGTACCTAAGATGCTTATCTATTGAGGTCATACTTAGGAAACTTAGAATTGCTGAAGAGTTATGTGATGATCGTTTTTTTTTTGTTTGTTTGTTTGTTTGTTTTTTTGAAAGATTTTATTTATTTGACAGAGGGAGACACAGCGAGAGAGCGAACACAAGCAGGGGGAGTGGGAGAGGGAGAAGCAGGCTCCCCGCCGAGCAGGGAGCCCAACGCGGGGCTCGATCCCAGGACCCTGAGATCATGACCTGGGCCGAAGGCAGACGCTTAAGGACTGAGCCACCCAGGCGCCCCTGATGATTGGTTTATTAAAATGTAATTAATCTCAGTGAGGGCAAG